CCCCCCCAAAAAAAAAAAAAAAAAATACACTTAACATGTCTTCTCCTGAAAACAAGCCCAAAGTTGGTATTGACAATAAAAATGATACAAAAAAACCACCCACTGCATCCAAAAATAGGAAAAAATAAAAATAAAAAGGATGGCAGCCAGAAGAAGACCAAACCCCCCAACTGGTGTGTCAAGTAAGGCATGACCCCAACTGCCAGGGGTCAGGGGTCAGGATGGCGCTTAGTATAACCCCGGACCCCTGGGGGCTTGTTACTGAGTTGTGCATGGTGGCTAGTCAGAGGCACTATCTAATGATGTCAAAATCTTAAATCATTTATATACCTTTTTTTATTTTGTTGTGTGTTTTATGTAAATAAAATCTTGATCAATATTTTCATGAGTCTGGGGGGAAGAGAGAAAAACAGAGGGGAAAAAAACAGAGAAATAAGAAACAATCAAACGGCAGTCCTTCAATAATGATAATTGTTCAATTTTTTGAGGCTTGAGAGACAAAGTGGCAGTGGTGTTGATCAAAAGAAGGATGCATCCAATGGAATCTAGTGTTAAGCTGTTTGAAAGGTTGCTATATTTTGTTGAGTATGCTGCAGCTGGTTTGGTGAAAGCTCAGTGTAAGGGTGTGAAATGTTCTCCAGGGCTGAATGTCAGGGTCACAATCACTCAGGTTCCATGGGAGATTCTCTTAGTGGAACCCCCCTTTTTTTACTTGTCTTTAATATGGGAAAAGCTTGCTGCAATTTGCACAATTCCAAATTTCCTGATGGCTGCCACCAGTTTCTTTCCTAGTGGTCCTCTTGCACTAAATTATTAAAGCTTCATTTGATCATCAGGTCTTCCATGAAAGCTTTCATTCTTAGTGAATATGTTCCCCAGTCCCAAACTTGGTTGCTATCTACAAGCATGAAATGCTAAATGCCATGTTACTCATGGGTAGTTGGAAAGACCTGCCCCTCTATCAATACTACACAAATATAAGGAATCTTGAAGAATCTTGAATCAATAATCAAATAAAGATGGCTAATTTCAAGATAGAGTTGATATAGAGCTGCTATGTATAGTATCCTCTATCAGACCTAGATCAACAGTGGCACTGCTATGCTAATGGTAGCATCAATTTGGGGTAAAAAAGCTAACAGATATAACTTTCCTCGTGGCTGTTAGCAGTTTTGCGCTAATTATAACAGAGATAGGTCAAAAAAAGCCTTGCCACACTAATTCATAACATGTTTTGGCGGAAAATAGCTGCTAAAATCACTTTAGCCTAGTTTCCTGTGGGACCACTAACACTACAATTTTGGAAGTAAAAAATGGCTGCTATGGTATGCTATTTTGGCCATGTAGTGCAGTGTAGCAGACAACTGCTACCTAGATCACCTTAATCAATATTTTTGCGGACTTAACACAACTCCTGATGATGAATGAACAATTGAGTGGGATTGAATGGGTAAAATATATTATTAAATATACTATAAATCATATTACTACCACTATCTCTGGTAATAATTCTTCTTGTTGTTGCTCTAATACTACCTTGCAACCTCTGAAGGTGAAATTGCTACTGGACTCTACTTATCAACTACTAATAATCTACTAATTTCTTCAGTGGAATTTCTCTTAGAAAATTTCTACTTGATACATGTTACAGCACAGCATGATGTCATATTCTGAAAAGCATGATTTCATTTTTGGTGTGTCATCATGTGCTGGAAAATTCCAAAGCCACATAAAGCACAAAACATGTGGTCCTGGAACTTTTTTAAAACTGGGGCACCTTTATTTACTCCCTCCTGTATTATTTTTCATATTTTAAACACCTCCTTGCAGCCAAAATAAATTACACAAAAATCCTCCTCATCCAATCTTCAGGGTCTCTGCCTCTCTTCTCACTTCTATCCTTCCTCTTTTTTTCCTCCTCAAATAATTATGCCCTTCCACCAATTTTCCCAAAACTAATCTCCTAGACCTTACAAGCTATTATTCCACCCTTAAAAACAACTTACCCTAACAACTGGAACTAACCTCTGTTCAATCCATGTTCGAGAAAAAAAGTTTCCAATTCTTGGTATATCTGTTCAATCCCTGGTTGAGACAAAAGGCCACCCAGCCTTGGCACATCCCATGTTCTG